CCTGAACTGACCTGCTTCCGGACTCTCTGTGTGTGGCTTCTACTATTACAAAATTAATGAAAGGTTATGTAATTCTGTTATGTAAAACAGTGTACACAATATGGACCTATATTTATAGATATATATTTGCATTAAACAACAACTATGCTTAGCTTCAAATAATAATCCACCTCTTCCAAAAATACAAAATAAATAAAAAATGGCTATACTTCACCTTTAATTCAATCAGCACAGGAGACAATGTTGTGCATTGATCACAGTTAAATAAAAACAAAACACAAAATACAATGTATTGCTGAAAACAATACATTTCATGCAAAACTAAAAAGAATTGTAGTGTTTGCAATAGTCTTTATAAATAATGCACCTACACACTACATCTCTATCCTGCACCACACCATGTTCCCTACATCCCTTTCCCACATCTCACTATATTCCCTATGCACACACTACATAACCTACACAAATACACACTACCTCTTTATCCCACCTCACACTATGTTCCTTACACATACTGCATAACCTACACCCTACATAGCTATCCCACTCCACACTAGATTCCCAAAGACCAGTTTCTAAAGGAGCGCTCTAGGCACCAGATCCACTACAGTTTAACAGAGTGGTTCTGGAGCAAATAGATTGGACCCTGTAGGTTCCGCAGTGTAAGCACTGCCTTTTCTGTAACCAAACCGGTCAATGGATATAAATGGCCTCATGAGGTTGCATTAGTTATTTATAGTTATATTTTTTGATAAAGTAAGCTACAATAATTCTCTTTTGGAAGTTATTCTGTTTAAGTTCACTACCAACTTGTATTCGTTGATTCCATTTAACTATTGTTAGGTCTGTCTCCTTAGTTATGATCAATAAAGACCTTATTTAAATACGGTTTTGATTAAAATGATTAATTATTATTACTTTTTTGTATCAGGACAAGTAGATTGGGCAAACGCTTTAGTCCCTGTAGTAGTAGTTTTTTTTATTTTTTTATTTCCACACCCCTGTGCATCTACTTTTCCTACTCTGTACAGAAAAAATAATAATTTCACTTTAAAATATGAATAAGTGGGGGTTTTGTGGGGATTAACATGGGTCCCATTCCTCATGAAGATATAGTCCTCCCATTGTGCAGCTCTGAAGTTACCCTGGTTAACGTCTAAATCAGTCAGTTCTAGAACCTGTTCAGAGCTACTAGGTGGACCTGCATCACTATGTTCAGTGTTATCCCCAACAAGGGTTTCCATAGGGGTTAAATACTTTTTTTTCTTTTTTTAGCAGCAACTTCTCTGTCCAGGTCATCCCCTGTTACATCTGAAAATGGAAAGTCACTAACTTCTCCCTTTATTGGTACAGAGTTATCATGCTAAATGCCATCCACAAATTCCCAAAATGGGGAAAATCCCTGTCAATTATCATTTCATGGACTAATTTGTTTACCAGACCAACTGTATGATTTACAGTGCCATTTTGCATCTCAATAATTACCTCAGCAGTAGGGTACTGGTGTATGTCACCATATATACAGGCAATTTCTAGATTCTGGGAGTCATTTACCTGAATATTTCTTAACAGACCTTGATCTAGAAGCGTAACCATACTCCCAGAAACTAGTAAAGCATTTACGACTCTTCCCTCTACCCTTACAGTACACCAGGGATGACCCTTCAGACAATCATTTTCGGTGACTGCATATAGTGAGCGAGAGAAAAGAGAGTAATCATCCCTCTTATCACCAACATTCTATTCCATTGCAACAACATTCTCAGGACAGTCCTTTGCAATATGTCCATATTCTTTGCATTGAAAACACTTAATGCTATAGTTAGGCATCATTTTTGAGGCTTGTGCATAAATCTTCCAGCCTCTCAAAATTCTTGCCTTTGCTAGATTGTCCCTTGGGTTGTAAAAACCAAATCTGATCCTTCCAAGACCCCCTTTTCCCGGGAACAGTCTTACCCTCTATACTGGGATTCTGGATCTTAGGGCAAGTAGGTCTCACCTGGTAGGAGAGTTGCAGAAACTCTCCGGTGGACACATACTGTGTAAGAATAACGGTGTTAGGATAACTCAGGCTGACCCAGAAACTTAGGGGAAAACAGGCAATCCTCTTATGAACCGTTCCATCACAAGCTGTTCCACGAAGATTCTAGTGACCGACAGGCAGCGTTATGCACCACCCGGCGTGCAGTTGTGGAAGAATCAGAAGCGGCGAGGGAGCTCTGATCTCCCCGCTCTGTTCCTTTGAGAGCCATTTGCTGATGCAGTGGGAGCCAGAATATGACGTTATATTTCGGCTCCCATAGACAGCCCGCAAGGCGCCTCTGATTCTACCACAGCCGCACGCCTCTCAGCAGCCCCACTGGACCCCAGGGACAGATCCACGCCAGCTCTCCAGGTAAAGAGGCTGGGTGGAAAAATTTTAATTAGAAAAATAATAATTAGTGAGTGTGTGTGCGTTTGTGAGTGTCTGTCAAGTCAGTAAGTATGTTTGTCATTTAGTCTATCAGTGTGTCTGATCAGTGAGTCTGTGTGACTGTCAGTGTGTTTACACCACTGAGTGTAGCGTGACAGAGCGCGGTACAGAAGCTTCTTTTTCCTGTACCCGGCTGGACTGACAGGAGCAATTCCTGTCAGTCCGGCCGGGTACAGAAAACAAGCTCCTGTACAGGGATCTGCTCCGCTCAGCCATGCTACAAGAGAGGTAGGAGGCACGCCAGGAAGGGAACCACTAAGGGGGTTAGGGGTGCACCAAGGGACAGGGAGGGGAGAGAAATACTAAAGGGACAGGGGGGGGGGAGAGAACATTAAGGGGGCAGGGAAGGGAGGGGACCACTAAGGGACAGGGAGGAGAGAGGGAATGGATGTGAAAGAAACACACTGCAGGGAAGGAAGAAAAAAAAGAGGGGGGCTGGGGGAGACAGATGGGTTGGGGGTGAAAGAGACACAAAGGGGCTGGGAAGAGGAAAAGACACAAGGGGCTGGGAGAGAAGGAGTCACACAAATGGGCTGGGAGGAGTAAGACACACAATGTGGGAGGATATAAGAGTGATACAAAGAGGGGGGATAAGAGACAAGGGAGTTGTAAGATACACTAAGGAAAATATAGGAAATAAGATACACTAAAGGGGGTATGACATTTAAAAGAGGAGATAAACACAAAAGGGAGGTTAACAGGCATACAGGTGAAGATGTTGTATTTTTCCGCCATCCCCCCCAAAAAAAATATCTGCGGCTATGTACCCAAAAATCCTTGCACCGGCTCTGCCTATACCTAGTTACTGCCAGAGAGAAGAGAGACTCTGGTATGGGCAGTACCAATTGCCATTCTATGATCTAACAAAGCTAGAAACCTCACCATTGCACAAAAATTAATATATACATATAAATAATTTTATTTTTTATTACATGATCGCTTTTGAGAATTGCCACATATAATCTTTTTTTCTCCCCTCAATTGTACCTGTTTTGCCTTGCCCCCTATAACATTTCTTAACCCCAATAAAACCTACAATATCAATATCACAACTGTTCTAACATCATCACTTCATGAAGGGGTTAAATAGGATTATGTAGAGAGGTTAAATAGTTTGCTTTGAATTGCCCTCTACTGTCTGGGATCATTAAAGAAAATGATGTACTTTACTGAGGAACTGTTTATGTGGCACTTTCTTTAATGGCCCGTTTTCTCTTGGAGGGCACTAAAATCGCCATGCCAATTACAACTTGTAGCAGTTATGGTGCACGGGCCTCTGGAGGCAGTCCTCTTCATTTTAGAGAAAATCAGGGCTCATCGCTGGTGCTGGCCTCCAGTAATGCAGGCAAAAAAAAATAAAAAATTAAATAAAAGACCATCTAGCTGGATGCAATGAAAGATTGATGCTGCTCTTGCCACTCATGCATTGGCTTATTTTTGTCAGTTGAATGCTCTCAGCCAATGAATTCGACTCTAAGCATAAAAATATCCAGCATTTACATTAGTCTGGATCACTTGTTTTGCGCCTGCGAATGGCATCCTAATTACACTGACGTAGGTGGGGTTACACCATGTGCAACATTTCATTATCAAACACTGGGAGAACTGCAGCATAAAACACTCATTGCACAAGGACAACCACAATGAGCTGCAGTAGATTTTAGAATATATAAAATTCTGCTTGGGATCTGTACTTCAGAGTCCAGTACACACGATAAGAGAGTCACACTTTATGTATGGTCTACCATTTACTAATTTAGTGCCTTCCCTAGGTCTGTTATGTTCTACAACCCAACAAAAACCTATCACTTACTAACTATACACAATGGGCTTTATTACCCAACTCCTCTTTTTGAAATAGAATTTTCAACCCTTGCAATTGTTCACATTTCCAGTTTAGTGAATAACCCACCGATGTACCACTCAATAACCCTTTTAGCTCTTTGCTACA